TCCTACATTTTGCTTAAAAGAAAAACAGCTAAGTGTTTTTAAACAATGTTAACGTTCAAAATTAATCTTTGATATCTGCTCAGAAGCATTGGAACTGTATTGTGCCATATTGAGATGGACACTCTGGATCGTTGATAATAACCTGGTTTAGCAAGATCAGGATAACATCCCTATTACGAGCGTGCGAACCGACTGCGACAGCTTTCGCTATTAGCGCGCATTTTTCTTATTTTTCACAGCCGCCTATCTGCGGCTGTGGTGATCGTTTACGATTCACATGAAACACCCAAAGATAGCTGTCAAGCCGGCGAAGCTCGTTGAGATTCCTTACGAATTGTTGGAAATGGAGACGTGGAGAGTGAGTAGGCAGTCAGAGAAACAGAGCGCCCCTGCGCGACGAGATTCCGGTGTATTGTCCACGCTGGTTATGATCTGGACAAACACGCCTGCTTTTCTCTCCAGCATGGTGATGTCGTCAACGTCGGTGCTGCTGCTGGTCGTGCTACCACTTGCTTCGAGCCAGCTGCTCGAGATATTTGGACTATCCACTGGCGACGCCGGAACTGTTGAGCGTCAGTCGGCTTTCCACGATTTAGCGACGTAAGCCATGCTTTTTACAGCGAGTGTGCAAAACCCACGACTCGGGCTTACGCTGCTTTTTGCAGGCAATCTGTTGGACTTATCAACTACCTCCAAAGAGTCCAGCGCAATCCCAACAATCAATTGGCGAAAAAGTGTGTCAGAGAAAGGAGCGCGTGAAAGGAGGGTGAGAGTAGCGGGGAAAGGTCTGCAGAAACGAGTTCGCGCAAAAAAATAGTAATCCCATAACAAAGATGTAATTGCGGAATGACGTTCGGGAGGATCTTAACTGCAAATTTTGCATCAGCTTCCCTGTTCAGTTAAGTCTGATGAAATGCTCTAGTGAACTTAAAAGGCTGGCCGATGTTTGAATACGTGTACTATTCTCACCTCCTTGTCTGAGATTTTCTATCATTTGAATTGTTCTGTGTTCCGGGTTGCGTGAACCTCTGCCATCAATGAACTTCATGGAAGGAATTCCTGTGCTGCCAGGAGTTATGGGTAATCTTCCCGGAGCCGGATCTTGTCTTCCTCGTGGTTCGCCCCTCGTTCGGGACAAGTGAGTTCCATATGAAAACAAGATGATAGCAGAGCTGATAAGAATTATTTTCAGGTCGCCCAGTCTCTTCCAGAATATGCTTCGTAATATTCCTGGTGCTCATGATTACTTGTCAAGTTTGCTCCCTTCACCCAATGTCGATATTGACGCACTTATGGGAAAATACCAGTGGGTTAGTTATTGATGTTCATCTCTTTTATAAAATTTAAGTTGTTACTGTTGAGCTTGCTGAAAGCTTATGAAAAGAAGTAATCTCCCAAAATAAACGATTTACAGGCAATTGACACTCCAACTGCTCATAATCGTTTCTGTGCTACAACTGAATGTAAGCATCATACTACAATTCATTTTTATGCTTCGTACATTATCTGAATTTACTGCAACTTGAAACATTACGGAGTAGGATATCGCTGTTGCACCATAATATTGTGAAATAGTGCATATGAATGGATCGTCCATAATATTATCTTAGATTAGCTATTCATTTACAAATGCAGATAGAAGATAAAGTGTCTTTATAATTCCGTATTTAGTCCAGCGAGCTGCTCAAGCTGGAAACTCTTCCTCTTTCAGCCTTCAGGAAAAATTCCGCACCAATAGTGAAGAAGGCGGAGAAAAGGTATCCAAACAAAGGCACTGACAGTGATTTTTCTCATTCATACTAGTACATGTATCCACTAATTAAAGGTCGCATTCGGATACGGTATCATTCATAAGGACCGCACCTACGTATACATGCAGGATGATCCTTGCCCATGTAAGTCTTTGAGACTTTGTCGGTCAGTAGAAGGAAATGATAGCGCAACCCTATAGGTTTTGCTGGCAAAGATGTGCAAACTGTTAAACTGCTATCTCTAACTTGGGAACTTTAGGGTCACTAAACATAATATGGTTTATAATACCTCTGGAAAAAGTTTAAAGAAACGTTGTATCTTCTAAATTGTTGTAGATATGGGATATATGAGTATGCATTTTAAAATCGTAGAAATGCATTGCCGAAGAGGTCAAACGCGGAACCCGCTCTCTTACCGCAGCGATAGCTATGGTGAATATCGACCACATTTCGCGCCGATTTCAACGCGTTTTTTCTTGAGATTAAGACTTAAAGCTCAAGTGTGACGGTCCTATGTCAGAGTTGGAACTCTCGCCGAAATCTTCTTACAAG